AATACTGCTGGTATTTAAAATACCCATAGTGTAACTTCCAGAATCACAGCAACATGCAAGCCATCACAGTATGACAAATTGACAGACAAGTGGTCAGAAGATCAGATGTGGAATCCCAGAATTTTGAAGCTAGAAAGGCCCTTACAGTTCATTGACTCTAAGTCCTACCTTTAGGATATCAACAATCATATCTAGAGCTTCACAGACAGTTTAGATCAAAACAGGAATCAGAGCCAAGAATTCTGACTACCAATCTAATGCTTTATTTTGCATGGTTGCCAAATACACTTGTGAGGATAGTGCACTGTTTAACTGTCCTTGTCTATATACTGGCCATAAAGTTCTAACAATGTCAGTGTACTAGGTAAGTGTTTGCTAGATACAAATGCCATGAGGAAAATACCATTTGCTACTATGCTCAAAAGTATTGACTTGTGGTCTTTTTTTTTTTTTTTAAATCACTTATCTATTAATGTAGAATGTTCAGGTTCTAATATCAAACACAAATATAGGACAGATGCATTTTATGTGCATTTGAATTATGTAAACTTGAAATTGCTGATCTAGAAAAATAGTGTTGTTTGATTGCATAAAACAGCAATTCTAAAATGTTGCCAAGAGTGGCAAATTCTAAAGCTGGCTGGCCTAATGCATTGTAAACCATGTTCATGTACAGGCATGCAGAGATGCTGCATGACTTGTTATGATATGACCCACATTTTTACTGATGTGAGCTTCAAGTGATTTCAGTGACCACTGTAGTATTGTTGGTGCTATAAAGTTTGGGCCAGAAGTTATATGTGATAAAATACACTGCATCCCAGCAACTTATATTCATAATTTGTTGTTAAGTGCCGTCAAGTTAGTTCCAACTCACAGTGACCCTGTATAGAGTTTCCGAGGAGCAGCCAGTGGGTTTGAACTGCTGACCTTCTGGCGACCTTGTTGTCCAGTGCTGATCCTAGAGCTCCACACACCAGCTGTTAATTGTGTCCCAACCCATTGTCATTGAGTTGTGACTCAGAGCGACCCTGTATAGGGTTTCTGAGGCTGAAAAACGTCATCTTTCTTTAGAGGAGCAACTGGTAGGTTGGAACAGTTAACCTTGTGGTTTGCAGTCCAGTGCTTATCCTATAGTGCTACCGGAGCACCTTAATTTAGGAGACAGCATACTAAAAAACTGGAGAGAAGGCTGTAAAAATGAACTATATAGCATTAAAGCAAACAAAACAAAACACAGTACCGGTATCTCATATCTAACATTTATTCCTCAGTGAAAGCAAGTCTTAAATCATGTGATGTGTTCAGGAAAGTACTCCTCAGACAAAAGGCAACTTCTGTTATTTTAAAAATTCATTTCTTTGAGTGGGTCTAACACAAGCTCCTATGCCTGAAAGACAATGTATAAAATTGGTAGGCTCTTGGGGTTTCCCAGTTTAACATCACATTTAGTAGTTCACCAACGAGATATAATTCTCTGTAGAACCTCCCAGAAGTCAGATCTGTTTTTTGTGTGTTTTAAATTCTAGTATGCAGGGAGCTGTATCATTCTATAGAATGATGCTTTGGTTATTTTAACTCCAGGTTTTAACAGGTTTTGAGTTTGTGGCTAAGTAACGTTGACAGGTGTCTTTCTAGGGCTTACCTCCATTATACCTTCAAACAAGTATGCTGTTATTATATGCTGTCAAGTTGGTTTCAACTCGTAGTGACCTTGTATAGGGTTTTCAAGGAGCAGATGGTGGGTTTGAACTGCCAACCATAAGTCCTCAAACAATGATAAAAGAAACCAGATCAAACCAGTTAGCAAATTGATGCCAACTCATAGCAATGGCATGTACAAAGTAGACCTGCTCCACAGGGTTTTAAAGGCTGTGACCTTTTAGAAGCAGACCGCAAGGCCTTTCTTTGAAGCCACCTCAGCTAGTAATCTTAACTGCTTGTGCCACCCAGGACTAAGTAATTTTGTTGCACCTCTCCCCTCCTCAAAGAGGATCATGTGCTAATAAACACAAGAGTTTCAGACTCATGAAGGGAACAAGTCTGCAAATGCAAGGTGAGACACTGGGGGGGGGGGGGGGGGGCATGGTGCAGCATCAGCAGATGAGCCGTTGACTCTGGCAAGTCCTGAGCCATCTAACCTTGGACTGAGCACGGACTTAGTCAGCATGCAAATGAGGGCACCATCATTTTGGAGACTTGACATTTAGTATATGTAAAAACCACCGAAGTAATGCTCATGGGGAAAATGGGAGCTCTGTTGATTACTTACATTTATTCTACAGTTTAGTATTGTTGCTAGTTAGAATTACACAGAATGCTACCATATCATTTCAGTGCAGATGGCTTCTAAAGGTGACATTCTGGTCCTAAGTCTACCACCAACTACTTTTTAAAAACTTTACCAAGATATTCCAACAATTTATTTTTTTTTTAAAAAGTACTTCTTTCCAAGTTGGCAAGATTCACAAAGGACATTCTCTCATCAATAAAGATTTATTGAAACTTTTCGGAAAGTACTCCAAACCCAAGAAAAAAAATCAAATCTTATTTGACTAGGGAGTAGCCTATGCTTTGGGTCAAGGGCCAGGCTGAGAAAATCTAGATCAAAATGTTTAGTATCATTACCATCTTGATGACCTGCAGACGAACTTGGGATCCTAGGACTTGAGAAGAAACCTTTTTTCTTCATATTTTCCCAACTAAAAGAAAGGTCTGCTGAGTGTTTCGCCCCTGACATTTGTCATTTCCAAATATACATAACTTCTGTGTTCTTGCACAATCGCTGAGATATGTGTGTACATAAAACAAAAGCTATATATTTCTACTCAGAGTTTCTACACTTTGGATCCCCTCCAGACACCCATCTGAATGTGACACTCTGCCGCAAGGTACTAAAAATGGTGCTTCCCTCAAAATAAAACCTTTAAAGATCCCTTAGTAGCTATTCAGGGACTGGAATTCAATTTCAATTCTCCACCCTTTGGCCAGCTGTAGAGTCAAAATGCTCACATAAAACATTCTGAGTATGTACTTCACGGCACATTTGATTTTTCTTCTACAACAGATATGTGCTAGAGTCACCCCAAACTATATTTTCACTTAGAAAACAGACAAAGCAATAATGTACCTCAACAAGAGAGAACAGATGTTTATTTTATTTTATAGGTAGCTTCGATGTAAGCTTCACATAGACCCACTTACTATACTGAGTTTGTGAAATCTACTCCTGGAAACCAATACTCTCTATTTTTAGGTTATTATATCTAAAAGCATGACTTCTCAAATTCTTTATTATTACAAGTAGTTTTTGCACATAAATGTTACATCACAATTGCAAAAAATATATGTAAACTTCTTTTGCAAACTACATAAATACTATAATATCTGCCTTGAAAATTTTCTTATTTTAAAACTAGAATACACTCGAAATGTTTTCTATAGTAAACTTTGGACAGTAGCCTATATATGAAACATTATTTATCTTACTGACTTGCTTTCAATGTCATCTAGTTAGGTCTTTGAAGGAGAAACTTTCAAAATACCACCCAGATCAAAATTCAGTTCACGACTAAAATAACCACTGTTAAGTGTTGTGCAGAATATGAGATGTGAAAATTATTTTCTATACTGAGTCCAACAGACATCCAGTAGTTGGAGGGAACTAAAAATACTCAGGTTGGGCACACATTTGCTCCTTTATGGAAGGGATTCAGTCCTCTTGTCAATGTACCATTCATTCTGATGTATAAAAACGTCCGTTTTCAAATGAATCATTTTTCTTTTTTCTCTTAAAGCACAACAGGTTATTTCTACAGCTAAAATCTAGAACTGGAAAATCTAGATGACCAGTGACTTTACCATTCATTACTGTCCTTGGAGGTGGCCTTAGGTCGTACACATGGTTAATGCCCTCTGCTGCTAACCAAAAGGTTTGTATCCTCCCATATGTGCTTCAGAAGAAAGACCTTCCAAAAAATCAGCCGTTGAGTACCCTACGCAACAAAGTGCTAATCTGACAGACTATAGTGGTTTTTGTCTTTGGTATCTTTAAATAAAAAATTCTAATTGTTTAAATAA